TAAATGCAATTGCTTTCTTACACATTTCCTTAAAATTAGTATTGAAATGAAGTTGTGTAGTGTTAGCTGCACTTTTGACAAAGGTCAACATTAAAGTATGCAGTTTAATGACTCAATTAATTCTACTAATTTGGATGAAATACTATGCATACCATCTTAAGTTAGCAAATGTTTCATGAAATAGATCAAAAGGTCATTTCCTATGTGACATTGTAACATTTTTCTTCTTGTTAGTCATTTATATTATGCTTCCCTTTATGAAATCTGAAAAACTTTTCTGTAGATTCAATTATAGAGGTAAATTACCACCAATAAGGCAATGAATACATACGTAAGACATTTTAAAAAGTTGGTTAGTCAATCTAAGTTAATTCTTAGAGTGCTCATTGTTTATTTGCAACTACTATACCAAAATATTTCTTCACAGTTAATAAGATTATCATCACTGGTGCTCCTACCCTTGATAGAATATTAAACATCACAATTTTAATGCTGAATTTTAATCAGTTTGTATAATATACATATAAATATGAAGGGAATTTACTAAGTGTGTTGAAAGCCACTGAAAATGGACATAAAAATACACAACCATTATAAAAAGGATATTATTTTAGTAGAGAACATTGCCAAATGATATAAATTCATTTTGTTACTAATAATGTTATTACTATTCCCAAGTAAAGAATTTGAAAAATCTAATGCTACCTACACAAAAATTAAAAATGTTTTGTTTGTGACTGCAAATTTATGGAATCTATCAACATTTATCACAGCTTGCAACTGATCAAACAATGTTACTTTATCTTTCATAGTTTCATTGGAAATTACATTTTGAAAGAAGAAAAGAATATGTATGCAGATCTTCATTCTTAGGAAAATTATACTGTCCTGAGTTTCCACAAATCACCGGAAAGAGAAAGAAGGAAGCTACCTATTGCTGGATACCTACTCCGTGTCTCTCCTGTTCTGTAATTTGTCTTATTTAATCTACCTTAAAACCCAACAAAATCTCTGGGTCTTCTATTGGGACACTAGCCACAGAAGATAGTCTGTTCCTAAAAAATCTCAGTGAATTAAAGGTTGTTTTATTTTTTTCACATGGATGAAATCTACTCCAACCATATATCAGAAATGTCCAGCTATGAGTCAGGAATGAATGGCCTATAATCTTTAAACTTAGGTGTAAAATTTTAAAAAAAGTGGAAACTATAATTTAATAACAAAAAAAAAACCTGTGATTTTGAAAAACACACTGCTAGGGCTTCTTGCTCAAAAGCTGAAAACAGCAAACACATCAAAGTGATAAAACGTTTTTATCAGAGGTGTGAAAATCCTCCTCATTTAGGGCTGCTTGTGGACTTAACATATTTTTGCCGTGTTTATATAGGAACAGCATAATGATTTCATGATTGACAGTAGTTCAAAGAAGCTGCTAATCAGTTAGGTAAGATGACTTCTAAAAAATAATAAAAGAATATTTGCTTAAGAAGCTCTGAGATTTTGACCACATAGAAAAGATTGGAAGAAACACTAGAGTAATAAGAAGAATAAAATGTTAAAGTGATATTTGAAAACATAAAAATTCTTCAGTGGACTGAGCGCAGGCTGCGAACCAAAGTGTCGCAGGTTCGATTCCCAGTCAGGGTACATGCTTAGGTTGCAGGCCATAACCCCCAGCAACCGCACATTGATGTTTCTCTCTTTCTCTCTCTCTCTCCCTTCCCTCTCTAAAAATAAATAAATAAATAAATCTTAAAAAAAAGATTATTCTATGTTTAAAAAAAAAGAAAACATAAAAATTCCTTAAAATAATTTTGAGTTTTCATTTAGAACAATAGTATTTGCAGACATTATCTATTAAACTGGGTTTGGAAACACCTATTAAACTGAAATAAGACTATCATCATTACAGGGTGAGATATACAGTTAGCGTATAAAACAAATTTATTTTAAAATCAATAAGCAGGAGATTGATGATGAAGGAAAAGAATTTAATTGACAGACATGTTTTTTCTTCTGAAGAGCTGTTTATCAGAGTTAATATATCTTATTTAAAACCACAACTAAAACTTATAAATGTGGAAGCCTCAAATAAAAATAGTAATTGACTCTATGTCAACAACTCAAAAATAAAATCACCTTATATATTATCAGTAAAAGATGTTAATCTTATTTTCCACAAAAGCACTAACAACCACAGTAGTATACAATTGAACAGATTATATTCTCTTGAAAAAACACTGAAAATGATAATAATTCTGGAGCATTTTCCTGAATGATGTCAAAAAAGAAAAAGAAGTAAATGTAGGTAAATATATCAATTTACCTTGCCTTGAAGATTCTGAGTATGTTTTGACACAACAAAAAATAGACATACATTGGAAGAACTGGTCCTTGAATTGATAATCTGTCACCAACAGATTGAATCGATTTCAGCATGCAAGTGACTAAGAAGACAGTTGAAAAGCCATCTTAAAAAAAAAGTGATGGATGGAGGGTTGCATTGAAGCATACACCTTGATTCATATAAAAATATTTATTTTTATCTTTCTAAAGAAATTTGTAATTGACAAGCTCCTCCTATGGATATTTCTAAAATCTATCAACCTGTATGAGTTACTTACAGGTTGTAAAATATTTTGTATTATTCTGCATGACATTATGACTCACAAATAATATTTAATCTGATGTATGACTAGAATACTTCCAATTTAAACATACTATACATCAACAAAGAACAAGTTTAACTTGTTCTTAACTTTACCATTTAATTCTAACAAATGGAAAAAATGTTTCCATGGCTTTTCAAATTAAGAACTTGAAACTTCATAAAGAGTATGTATTATAACAATTTATCTCCTATATTATAAAGGCCAGATCTTTACTGTGAGGTTGCAGTTTCTTTTACAAATATTATGTTAAATTTGAAGTTATTAGCAGTTGGCCTCTTAAATCCTGGGCCACATTTATATGCTGCATAGTCCTAAATCAATAAATTCAATTATATTTTAGTATTAATTAATTAATTCAACAAATATTTTTGAATGACTACCATGTATCAGGCATTGTGACAGGAATTTACTTCAGTACTGGACAAGTTGAAAAAGACAAACAGACAGATGTGGCCCCATCCCTCCTGCAGCAAACAATGAAGCATAAAAAACGATTTCTGATATAGTGTGATGATACTACTAGAGAATCACACATGACACAGAAGTATAAAGGAGACAACTTAAGCCAGATATAGCAGCCCCTAATTAAAACTGTAGGTGGTGGCAGTGGCTTACTTTGTATGCACACAAAGGAATGTGTATCCAAACTCTAGCTGAAGGATTACACCAGTGCAAGGCTGGGGATGTTGTGGGTAGAGGTGCTTTTCCATTATTCTCCTCTAGGAAGAGGACATTTATAAAGGGATGGGAAAAAAGTGAGTGTTTCTTTGAGAAAATGAAACGAATTTAGTGAAGTGTGGCAAGAGAGGAAGTGGGGTTAAATCATGCAAAGACTTTCAGATTATACTAAAAAGTCTGTATTTTATTCTGAGGCTTATAGGAAGTAGTTGAAAAGTTTTCAAAAAGGAGTAAGAAAATCATATCTGTATCTTGAAAAAAGAAAGATAATATTTGTTACAATTTGGGAAATAGATTTTAAAGAGTAGGGCCAGAAACTGGACGGCCCCAACCAAATAGCCAGGACTACAGAAGCGGCAGTGGGGACGGTGAGAAGTGGAATGATTTTAGAGTAGTTGGAATAGCCAATACTTCTTAATTAGTCAATGTGAGTGTGTGGAGTGGGGGACAGGGAGGTTGGCAGGAAGATAGCAGGCAGAGGAGGGGTGGGTGGCCTAGAGGACTTTGAGGAGCATCAGCTGGACAGATGGAAGAAACAAAGTATGGTGTCGTACAAAGCAAATAAAAGGAATGCCCTTCAAAAGAGGAAATGTCTTAAGAGCATGAATAGGGCGATGCTAGCTCATGTGCCATCCCTGTTTATCATGCTATGTGATGCTTCACGGGTGCATCACAAACAAGCATTTGTTAAATGAATGATTTAATGTAGTAAGTCCTGAGTTCTGGGAGGATGGATATATTTCAATATCAAAAAACTCATAGAATAGTTAAAAGAGAAAGACATACCCATTTATCCATAAAGCATGGTAGCTAATGGAAGAGCTCAATAAAGATCCAGATCAATAGAAATACGGATAGAAAGTTAGGGAAAAGTAAAGAAAAAAGTAAATATTTCTAACTTTGAGAATAGTGGAAAATAAGGTCAAGTGAAGAAAAGACTGTCTGTGCTTTTCTTCTACAACCTAGCTGTCTTATGAGAGTGTAATCAAATCACTCCATTGCCTAGCAACCACAGGGAAAGAGCTAATAAGTCATGATTCATGGTTCTATGGGAACAATCTTCAGGTCAGTGGCATGATTTTAAGGTGGTTTAGTTCCTGCTGTGACACTTTCAAACCCATATTGACATGAAGCATTAGAATAGAGGAGAGTTAAAATGCAAATGTTCTCATAATCAATCAAATTGACCTATATGTGGTGTGATCTGGTACAGTCTGCTGCATCAATCTGACAGTAGCACTTATAAATCAACATTGGCGTAACAGCACACAGACATGGCTTCACAGGAATTTTTGTTTTATCAGTTTAGTGAAGCCAAACAGGAAGGTACATTTAAATTAGTATAAAGGTAATGACTCTAACGCTCACCTAACCAACAGGAAATCATTTATTATTTTTTACAATTTTATTTATTTATTTTTAGAGAGGAGAAGGGAGGAAGAGAGGGAGAGAAACATCATGTGCTTGCCTCTCAAGTGCCCCCTACTGGGCGCCTGGCCCTCAACGCAGGTATGTGCCCTGACAGGGAAGAGAACTGGTGACCCTTTGGCTCACAGGCCAGCACTCCATTCACTGGGCCACAGCAGCCAGGCAGAAATCTGTTGAAAGAAGAAGTGCAGTGGGTGGTGAAACAGTTTTTTAAAATATTACCTGTAACCATTGTGACTGGTCATTGTGGCCGGAAGTCCAAGCATTCACTTTGCCCTGCTTGTCCAGCCGAGCTTTCCTCGGCTCCCAAGTGAACATGTCCATATTGAGAGTTCTGAAAATGCTGGAGGCAGTGATCTGATAGTCTTGGATATGTCCTGATTTCATCCCCAGAGGCTCAGAACAGCCTGCAGGAAAATGAAAAGGACTCGGTGAGAGAAAATAATTTATTATCCTGGAAGTTTTCTGTCTTTATTTTGGATAGGCAAAAGAAGATTAAGCATAATGCTATTCATTTCCCCAAAGAGAGAGGATCTAAATTCAAAAAAAAAGGGGGGCTATAATCCGAAATAACTCTGGAACAAAATCGAAAATGAAATAGCCAATTCAGTTTATTTTGTCTGAATATATTTTGGAAAAATTGAAAACAACACAGTCAATTCAAACTACATTTCTGTGTTAGATGATTTTGCAAAATGAAAACAATGCTGAAATGCTCTCTCCTGCCTCATTAATGATGGCCACATGACTGTTCCCTGGTTTTCAATGGTTTCATTGTGTCTTCAAAAATGGAACATTTTCTCACAAAGGAAAGCTAGTTTTCTTTTATTTGTTTCTATAATCCTGCAAATGAAAATTCCCTCAGTACAAAGGCATTTTCACAAATTGCTCCAATGGTATTTTATAAATTGGACAGCATTTTCTTTCCCAAGAAACATCTGTAATCTTTACCACTGATTCTTATAGCATTAACATGGCTTCTTCTGGAAGGTGAGAAGCTAATATTGATTCAATGTATACCATGTGCCAGGCATCGTGCAAGTGTAGGATTTAAACAAATGGATAACAGAAGAAAGTAAGCTAATTTTAGCAAAAGCCATTACAGGATAATCATTTTTATACATTCTTATATTTGGATCATTCACATTAACTTTTAGTACTGGATATTTTTGGAAGATTTTCAGTCCTGCCACATATGTTTTAAAGTTTGTCATGGTGCAACATTTTGGTTTATCTATCCTTAGAAAGGTATGTCTCTCTCTGGGTGTGTACACATGAATTCCCAATCTTAAAATTGCAACAAAATTCTATCCATGAAGTCTGTGATAGGAACCATGATTTTACTACCAGATTAGCCAGTGGATGCGTCTTCCTTATGTAAAACTTGCATTTTGGCCAAGGAACACACAAGGTGAGTCTCATCATCAGGAAAGCCAGGATAAAGGAAGACTTCTGCAATCAATGCCATCTTCTCATACTCTGTCAGTCCCCCACTTACTCTGTTTGGGCTCATACCCATTATTGAACCACATTTTATCGCAGGTTTCAAGTATTTAAAATAGTAATAAAATAGAACCTACCTTAAAAATGTTTTAAACAAATTAGTTAATAAATATAAAGTGGAAACAGTGCCTGCATATAGCTAGCATGTCAGCTGTTTTTATTATTTCCATAAGGCTCATTCTAACAGATCACAATGTTAAGACTTCAGATCAGCCTAACAGGAAGTACTAAAGAATGTCGGAACACTATCTATAGTGTCTAAAACTAAGCCATTTTTAGTCAAGGCTCTAAGAGAAGTGGCTTAGAATTGTTATTGAAAAAAATATTTTTAACAACAATTAATTACTTTTCTGTTTTAGTCAATCTAGACCTTTTCTTCCTTCCTGAGGCTCTTCCATGTCTACCTTCAATTCCACCTTCTGGGAAATGCCCATCCAATGCAAACATGGTGAAAATGGCCATGGAGGGTTAGCTGGTTATGCCTTAGTACAAATTTTGTTGGGTTTTAGGGATAGGAGACATATGATAAGTCTCCATGAAACTTGATAGGTCCCATGATAAAAATAGCTCTAACTCTTAAATACAAATTCTGGAGAAGAAAAATTTCATTATGCTAAGTGAAATAAGTGAGTCAGAGAATGAAAAATACCATATGATTTCACTCATATGTGGAATCTGATGAACAAACTGAACTAACAAGGAAAATGGGGACAGATTCATAGGTGGAGAGGAGGATGTCAACTAGAGGAGGGGAGGTTAGGGGGACTGAGCCAAAGGAAAAAGGACTCATGGACACGAGTCCTTGCATTTGGCCTTGCAGTGTGGTGATTGCTGGGGGAGGCAGGTATAAGAGGATTAAAAGGCGATAAAAAATACAACAAAGATTGAAAAATAAAGAAAGAAGAGAAAAGAAAAGAAAAAAGAAAAGAGAGATGAAAAATTTTATGACAAATTTCAGAGATTGAAGAAATCTTTATAAGTCTTAACATGCCATTTATCTTTAGGCGGTTCTAAGATAACATGTATTGTCTATATTATAGATTTCTGACTTGTTCTAATAGTGCTTTCACCAAGTGCCCACCCTCACCTTGTCCTGCTACTGGAGTCTTTGTTAAACTTTGTTTAACTTGCTGAAGAGATACAAGGGAAACAGAAAGGTGGTTGTTCTTTTTTCCTTTTGTGATATAATGGTATTTCAAATATTACATAGAAAAAAGGTGCCTTTACATCCACTGTTTCTAATTCTTAGACTTCATTTCATAGCCACTCTGTTTCTAGTACTTAGCCTAGAGGGAGTTCTGAGTAATTTGTTCAAAGCATGAATGAGTGACTATTCCCCTCCTAGTCATGGTCATGATCCACTTCATTCTAAACATCTTAAATCATCTCTCTCTCAGAGAATTTAGGGGATTTTCTTTTTTAAGTATCTGGGAAAAGATTAACTGCTGATCTTCTAGGCAGGCTAAGAGATCTTGTAAGAGTGTATTGAATACAATAAGGCAACCTTGGGCTTCATAGTGTTGCACTGGATTGTGAGAAATAGTTTGGTATGTTATGTCACTGTTTATTTCTAAATGTAATAGATGATCTCTTCCAATTTGTCTCACAAATCTCCCTTCTCATCCATATGATTTCATGCATGTAAATTAATGAACTCTTTAACCAGCATGGATAGCACCTGTACAAAATGAAATATTAACAATGAAATTGATTATTTTGGTTGTGAGGTGCCCTCACTTTTAAAAGCATCTATCGAGTGATATTATTCTTTGCAAGAAAGTTCAAAATCAATTTGTGGGGTTGGGAGATGGGTATGGCTTCTTTTTGAGAACATAAAATCTGTGAAGTGTCAGGTGTAACTGCTTGTCAAACTTAAAAGTAAAATACATCCACACCTTAGGGGTGTAACTCTGCTTTGTATGAGAGACTGACCTTCATGAATCAAACAACTGAAAAATTGGGGAAGGTAATGTTAAGCAACTAAAAACCACGGAGCTTGCAGCAAACCTCATCATATTGTGGCTTCTTCTTGATTGCTTTATGATGAATGACTTAGGGCTCACACTGGCCTGTGATGATATACTGACATGCAATATAAATGATGCACAGCAATAATTCTGCTCAAATTTTACTGGTAGTCAATAAGCCAGGTTGATTTATCAAAATTAGGAAAACATCCCCATTAGGATAATTAGTAATACTAAAAACATATGCTGGCTGTTTCATAAAAGACACCCATATGTAATATGAAATGTGATTCTTAACAGAGATTCAATCATCTACCTGTCTCTAATTCTTTTCAATGTAATGAGTTCATTTAAACTTTGTTTTTTAATAGTAACTTTTATTTGCTTAAAAATCATTTTTTTCAGTATCACAAATAAATCTAAGAAGAGAGACAGACCTGAAGTATACATTTTAACCAATATGCAACCTCTTGAATATTGGTTAAATATTAGGATGAATAAATAGTTCTCAGTTGTCTTCTTGCAAGAATGAGTCCTCTTATTTTTAACTGAATAACATTATTGTAAGATTATTAAAAGTCTTTTATATTTGAAAGTTATGCTAAAAAGTGGGGCACACATGAATTTTTATTTCTCAAAACACAGTTTTTTCAACAAAATAATTTAAGTCCACAGCAGAAAAGATAATTTGTAAATGTTGATGCTAAAATTATAAAAACAACTACCAAAAATATAACAATGAAATGCCTAGGCAGTATTTTTCTGTTTAGTTCAGAATCTAACTATATTGAAATGGGACCACTGAGAAATGGGACCACATCAAGTCTTCATCCTTGTATCTAATACTCTGGTAAGACAAGGATTATTTAATTCTGAGTCTTGATTGATTATCTTTGAGTTGGGTAACCACTGTTTGTACAACAGCAAGATGGTTAATAAGAGTGATACGAGAATGAATTTATAGTAGCAATCTTAGTTCCGAAGTATTGTTTCATTAAAAAAAAAAACAACTAAGTTCTTACAGTAGATAGACAAAGATAAAGCTTACTTTTCTATTCTATACAGCCTAAATGTAACTGCAATTTACAAAGTCAGGGAGATTACTGTTTTAACTGAAATTTTGTTGTAAGACATAAATCACAGGTACTGCTAAAAACAAGACATGTTTAAATAAGCATAAAGCTTCCAGTAAGATTTTGTTGTACTTTTTAAAAAAGATTTTTATTTATTTTTAGAGAGAGAGGAAAGGAAGAAGAGAAACATCAGTGTGTGGTTGCCTCATGTGTGCCCCCTACTGCAACCCAGCCAGGGCACATGCAACCCATACATGTGCCCTGAGAATCAAACCAACCACCCTTTGGTTCTCAGGCCAGTGATCAATCCACTGAGCCACACCAGCCAGGGCATGTTGTACTCTCATTGATCACTCAAAGAAATACACTGCCCCTTCTCTTCTGCAGTATTTTTAATAACTTGTTTATCCTACACACAAACACACAGTTTCTCACTGAACCATGCCCTAGACATTTTGTAGCAAAAAATTGAAAAAATGCAAGTTACTAATACTCTTCAAACTTTTTAAAGAAAATACTAATCTAGATAATATGAGACTCACCAGATAGTTCACATCCAAGAAGTTCCATTCTCAAAGTACAGTGTCTTCGACAAACTTGGGGATAAAGTCTTACATACTGAGCTTTTATGGGAGGTGTAAAAGAGTTAGCATAGGGTGTGTTGTTATCAACATTTCCACGGAACACCTGTGTAGAGACATAATATAGAGTTGTAATTACTAATTTTAATAGCTCCTTTACCTATTTTTATATATTGATCCTATGTCTTACTCAACATAATCTTTCTAAAATTGGATTAAATAATTTGGGGGTCTGGAGCATTTAAGGAGCACCTTGTCATCAGCCAAATATATAAAATCTATAGATAAAATACTTAAAGTTACAAACTGCTGTGGCTCACAGTATAGTCTGTATTCTACAGTATATTGACAATTTTAAGGCCAGTTCTTCCAACCTTCAAAGCCAGAAGAATGACTCACTCATTTTTTGAGAAATGGGTACCTTAAGCCTTTCAACTTAATGTGGGTCTGCCCATTTTGCTACACACACACACACACACACATATATATATATACAAAATATATATATGTTACATGCACACACATGCTATATATGTATAACAAACTGGACAGATCTACATTAAGTTGAAATATAAATATAAATATAAATATAAATATAAATTTATATATATTTTTTAGGAACTAGCCTTTCCTAGTGTTTCCTGTTCACTCAGTCTCTCTAAAACTATGATCAGACTTATGATGTTTTAAGGTCTGATTCCTAAGATTACTCCCTCACTAGTAAGTCTCAAATCATTGGATAAGAGACTCCTAATTCTATATATATATATATATATATATATATATATATATATATATAGCTAGTAAAAAAACTATGCTTCCTTCTAAAAATAAGAGTTAAATGTGTTATTTTTAATCTTTTAAATCTCATTCTTATTTTACCTTTTTATAACCTGGTAATCAGATAACTAAATTTATTTAAGAAGATGATTTTAAAAATATTTTATAATTTGCCCTGTCTGGCATAGCTCAGTGGATTGAGCGCAGGCTGCAAACCAAAGTGTTGCAGGTTCGATTCCCAGTCAGGGTACATGCCTGGGTTGCAGGCCATGACCCCCAGCAACCGCATATTGATGTTTCTCTCTCTCTCTCTATCTCCCTCCCTTCCCTCTCTAAAAATAAATAAATAAAATATTTTAAAAATATTTTATAATTTGTTAGAATCTGATCTAAGGAGTTAGTTTTACATGGAATGAGCTGAAATCGTGATATTTTTTTAAAAAATTAAGAAAACATTAATTAAAAATTGGGACTATGAGACTATCATATAAATGTCAAGGGACATTAAATATTTATTTCCTTTAAAATATTTTATTCTGCTAAGTACAAAAGTTTTCTCCCAATGTTATGTATGTAAAGATATACATCCTTTCTATCACTTGGTACTTTGCTTTTAAAATAATAATACTTTTTCCTTTACAAATAATAGTTTTGATCTATAGTTATTTGATTATGGAGAGTGTTAATCTGTCAAAGCAATAAAATAAAATTGAAAACTGAGTATTGTTAAAATAAAACAATTGTTATATACATATGGTTAACCTGTAATAAAGTGTTTATAAGACCACCAATCAAAACCAGAAAAAGTCTTACATGGTAACCAATATACATTTATAACTTGCAGAAATTCTTTACCTCTTTCACCCCACTTGTCCAATTTTAAAAAAAATCATAAATTTATTTTCAGCAAACTGAAGCTTCTGAAGCTGAAGCTGAAGCCTGATTATTCATTTGTAATCAATGATTATTAATGCAATTTGACTTTTAAATTAAGTATATCATTCTTACCATGTCTTCATTGGTGCCTTTCACTTTGTACATCGCCCAAGTCTTTCCATCATTACTATAGGCAATTTTGTAGGATTTTATATATTCTGGGCTTCCGATCCTTTTGGCTCCTTGGGTAATCACACCTGTGACTCTCATCTTTTTTTGTAAATTTATCTGAGGAAACAAGATAAGCAACGGTTATCGCATTGGTTTCAGGATTACAGTATTGACACTATCCATTTTGGGAATAGAATATTTTTATTTATTACTATATATTTAAAATAATACACTAAAATAATTTTCTTGTACTTTTTTCAAGTGAAATAAAAAAATACACCAAAAGATTTTAGTTTCAAAATCTTTCTTCAATGGAACATTAATGGCGTTCTTTTTTCAAGGAGAGAAATGTTTGTGTACAAACTTTGAAAAGGATAATGTGCCCTGAGGGTATTAAGTATGGAAAACATTGGTGGGTTATGACATGAAGGTGTAACCTAGTAAACTGAAAATGGGAGTGTCATCTTGCCAGAACAACCTCAGTGACAATACAATGAACCTCTCAGGCCAATATAATTGTAATTGTGTCTCAAATGCTTTAGGTTTCTACACATTTCTATTTAAAATAAAAATATGAAAATCTTCCTGAGATCTTTCATTACTAGAATAAGAAAAGGCAAAGGCAGAAATATTGACAAAAACTGAAATAAACAGAAATGTCTTCAGTTTCTGGATCTTTACATTATTGTTTCCTTATCATCTTTCCATTATAGGTTGTAGAGTGTTTTCATCAAATGCTTGCTCTTCTCTTTATTTCATCACAGGGAGACTTTCTTTCTAACCAATATTTTATCTTCATATTTTCTCCCCATTTTTAATGACCCAATGATATTTTGCTGCAAGTGTAAAAGTGCCTAATAAATGTGTTAATATTCTTCTTATATTTAGATAGGAGGAGCTCCTTTTGGTACTTGATGTATAATAATTAAATGCTAAAATAAAAATATTTTCTTCACATATAGAAAACATTAGAAATTGTTTTCTTCACTTTAAATTCCCTTTATGCTGTATGCAAAATCTTATATTTAGTAGAAAGGTACTCTTTCAATGTTCTTGAAACATTATTATAAAGTTTTCTTCTCCAATTACAAATAAAAAATAATAGCAATAATTCAGAGACCATTTTCCAGAGAAAACCTGAAAATCTTTGGATTCATATAAGCGATTAGGGGTTTTCATTTTCCAATAAGATTCTGAGAGTTAACATTTGAAATGGCAGAAGATGTGCACTTAGAAATCAGCCCCTGTGTAATCAGTGTGTCTGTCTACCTACTACCTACCTTCCTATAAGGTATTCAGAAGGTTAAAAATTGGAACTAAGAAAGCTCTCCTTACAATGTTCCCACCCTAGACAAACACCATGACTTATGAAAAGGTCTACAATGTTTTATTTCCTTCGATTTATACATGTTACACATCTTATTGTGTTAAGGGCAATCTTGGATCCTGCATGTAGGCAGCACCCTTTTAGGCTTTTGAAAGTATGCCAGTGTGGCAAGGTCTGCCTCCTGCTCCATTCTCAGTTTCCTAGTCTTGCCTTCCTCCTCTGTATATCATGAGATTCCTCCCAAGCTGGTGCTCACATGACAACTCTCAGTCTCACTTATGTATGAAAAATAAACATAAAAATAAAAAAAACCCTGGTATTTTGATGAGTTGAAGAACGGGCTGGGCAGCCCTCAGGCCCTGACTGGTGGGCATGCCTCTCCTTCACTCTTGCGATGCACACCTTATAGACAACAGTTTTGCTTTTGAATTCTGGGTCTATAGTGCCTTTTGTTTAAAACCAATAATGCGGAGTGAGTTGACTCTGAGATCCAGTTTTGCTCTTCTCATTTTAATTCACAGACATCAAAATTACTTACACATATACATTATATATTCCATTCTTTTTTTGGAGGCTCAAAAAGAGAATATCCCCCATTAAAGTAAATCTTACTTATTACTCTTAACATCAATCCATACTTGTTTTCTTTTTAAGATTGATTTTAGAATTTTAGCTGTGGGGTTTGAAATAAATAACCTATGAAAGACACTTTATTTTAGTATGTTAGGTAAATTACCACATGGCTATGGAAGAGCAATATTCTTCTAGTATCTTGTGTACGGCATCCTTGTTCTCTTACTTGAGAAAATATATTAAATATATTCATATTTGAGGCAGCATTACAAGTCAGTAAAGAGAGGGTAGATTAGTTAGTAAATGTTGTTGGGGAAATTGATTCTCTATATAGAGACAAATGAAGTTGTATTAGAATGTACTGAAGACCAAATGTGAAAAGTAACAGTGTTCATGTAATAGAAAAGAGATGTAGAAATGTATTTTTGTGACTTTATATAGTTGAAGAAGCTGTTATTTTAAGGTCAGTAATACACAAAAATTATTTTGACTCCAAAAATAATTAAATATTTCTATTTAACCAAGTAAAGTTAATAGAAAGGTGACAGACTGGGAGAAGACAAGCGTGATGTCAAAAAACTGACTGGGGCTTATTTAGTATACTAGTTCTCATAATTTTAGGTCTCAAGATTCCTTTAATAAAGTTATTAAAAGCTCCAGAGAGCAAATATAATCTCACAAGGCATTATGGGATATGTGTGTGTATATATATATATATATATATGTGTGTGTATATAAAGTAGAAATTAAACTGATGAGTTTTAGAAATGTTTATTATTTTATTAAAACATAACAATAATAAACCAATTACATTTTAACAAATGCCATAATTTTATAAAAATAATTATATTGTCTAAAACTAAAAATTTACCAAAAAGAGGTTGCTTTACACTTTTGAAAATCTCATTTTCTGGCTTATGAGAAGACATGTGAGTCCTCCTATTTGTTTCTGTATTCAATCTATAGCAAAATATTTTTGACTGAGGTATATAAAGAAAATCCAGCTTTAGGTATTTGGAAAAAGGAGGAGTATTTTAGTAATCTATTCAGATAATGTGCACATTCTTTTAAAAACTTGACAAGTGAGAAAAAACTTGACAAGTGATGATTTCTTAAATTTTAACTGCACTGTGCGATCTAAAATTTACCAGTGAATTCTTCATATTCATTATGCTAAAATCCATTGGTTTATTGTGCACTTTGTATGGATCTTTCACTCATGCATGGTTTTGTAACATTATTGTTGGTCATTTGAACAATATAAACTCACTGAGCTGTGCAGATTCTCCAAATGACAACATTTCATTACATAATATCGAAAAGTCACATTCAGTAATATCACTGCCAATTTCATCAGAAAAAAGTCTCTAAGTATTGCAACTCTCAAGCTCACACTGGCAGTTACATTTTTCCAAGATTCTAATTTTCACTTGAAATTTCAAATGTTATCACTAGCAACAATTACTATCAGCAGTTTCCCTTAATATGGCAGGATTACTTTATTTATTTTCAAGAAAATATCTGCCTTATATCCAGGTATGACTTGTCAGTATGTCAGTTGTTCTTTGAACTAAACATGATATTCAAAAAAGGAGGGGATAGGTCAGCTCTTAACTCACCATCTCCTACATGCTTTTCCTTGAGATTTTCAAATATAAAATGTATGTGTGTGCATGCTTGTGTGCCCTTGCATGATACATATAGGCATTATTTTTAAGAGTCAGAAGTAGTGAACTAGATTTATACACAGCTACCTAAATATCATAAGAATGTGTAAAAAAGAACAATGAAATATACACAATGCCTTTTATGTAAATTTAAAACCACATGTGTACACCATAATAACATCATGCACTTTTTATTAATTCACTTTTCTAAATCAACACAGGAAGGTGGAATGAAGGTTACACATCAACTTGAGTAGTTTGGGTGTCTTTATAGGGGAAGACAAATGAGAAAAAAGGAAGGTAGGGAATGAATAACAATGTCATGAAATAAGGAGGTTCATCTTTATTTCAGTGCTGACAAATGACATCCTAGGTGAGGGAAGGGATCATTGATTCATCCCATTTCTCTTCTATTTTCCAGAAAAATGATTTAAGTATGGCCTTCCGGTATAGTAGTACTGTTACATACAAAAGTATCTTCTGGGACTCATTCCTAGTATAGAATTCAGTGCATAAAACATTTCTAACATACTTATATAATGATATACTTAAAATTATTTATGGTTGTTATTTAGGCAAAAGATAGTATTAAACAAGCAATTAGCTTTAAGGATAGCTCTATGAATAGCTAATAGTTTTTCTTTACCTCAAGCTTGTTACCAGAAGTGGTGATATGCATAAATAATGAATTCAAGGGTGGGTCTGACTGGTAGCTGGTATTTCTATATTAAAACAAAACAAAATAAAACAAAAAAACCCCCTCCACAAACATAAAATGCAAAGAAACACAGTGTGCTGGAAGTAACTGCCTTCTTATATTTAATTGAAAAACAGTCATTCAGTTATTTAAATTTTGTAATACTTGGGCAGTGGAAGAGGGAGAATTAGATTTCAAAGAAACTATAGGAAAGATTTGCCAATTAAAGATTGTTACTATATAAACTGGGGTATATTAAAAATTTTAAGAATTATTTGAGCAAAATTTATTTGAATGAGGCAGCACCAAACTAAAAAGTGGGAAGGAATGCTCTGGCAGCAGGAGCTAGGGGAGAGACCTTTATGCAGAAGAGGGGAAAGCAAAGCCAGGGAATTACTTGGTTAGCCATAGCATAATTGCTTATAGTATTTGGAAAAGCCTACTTAGCCATTTGCGGTTGTCCTTAGGTTTTTAGTTCTTAACCTTGAGACACTACAGGCCTAGGTTTTTGCTTGCTTAAGTAGGTTGCAAAGGCATTAAAGTCAACCCAGTCTAATGGTTTCCGTATTTAAATAATTTAACAAGGTAAATTAGTAAGAAAAATAAATGTGTAATTTATCACTTATTCTTAGGAAAATCATTGATATCTAACATAGTGGTTGTTTCCTTCATGATAACTGAGGCATGTACACAAGCACTAGTTTGTGAGTTGATACATAAAAATGCAGATGTGAAGATTAGATAGCATATTACATAAACTACTATGCAAATATATAGAACTTAAATAACAATGATAATCTATGGCAATCATAATTCATACTAATGTTTTAATAAGTTATACAAAACACAGGCA